GGCGGGGCTGCGGTGGCCGGGAGTGGCCACTGCACTCCATTCTGGGCAACCGAGTGAGACTCCAACTCAAAATAAAATAAAATAAAAGAAATGCAGAATCTCAGGCCCCACCCCAGACCTACTGAATCTGCATTCGAAGAGGCTCTCAAGGTGACTTGTGTGCACATCGAAGTTTGGGAAGCACTGGGCTAGCTCACCTTGTGTGTCAAGGGCCTTAAATGTCTCTAGTCACAGCTAGTGAGTAAGGTAGCTGAGTTTTCAGAGGTACCAACCTAAGCAGGGAATGTCAGGCTGCTCATTTGGGCCCACATTAGGAGGTTAGTGGTTTTAAGGTTTAGGGATACTTCTGTCTTTGTCTCCTCTAATTCCCACCCGTCACAGCTCTGAACAATGAGCCAGCAGGCCCAGCTGTTGGGGGCCTGGGGCACCAGATGATGGCTCCTAGCCTGACTGCCTGAACCCCAATAAGAGCGAGATTGACAAAGCCAAATGATTGAAACCCTGCCACCCTGAGACCCCCAGGCAGGAGAGAGATATGCTGGAGCATTGCCACAACCTTGGGGGCATCCAGTGGGAAAGCAGTGGAACCATCTTAGCAAGAGCCAAGAAAGTGGAGGCACTGAGAGGGGACTGCTTTTGACCAGGCACATGGAAGCATTACTCTCCACAGATCAGGTTGGAAACAGAAGTTGCTGGCCAAAGGCCACAGCATCCCCAGGATAGACAGAAGCCCACTAACGGAAATTGCCTGGCCTCCTGTGCAGAGTTTTTCCCCATACCCTCCCTTAGCCCATGATGACTTACTTGTGATTCCTCCTTTCTTACCTAAGAATCCTATGAAATAATAGGCGTTATTTGGTTTTCCTCCTAATGCCCCTAAAGATTGTGGCATCTTAAAACACTCCTGGAGGAAAAGAGAATGCAAGATTCTCAACTCACTTGTGGACTGCTGCTCACGGATCTCTGTGCTGACATGGTGGTGTGACAGGCAGGTAGCAATGGAATTGGGAAAAGGAGTGACTTACTTTGAACGCATCGACATACACAGGATTGATTTGGTTTATGCCCAGGCGAAGGGGCACAATGAGCAGCAGGGGTTTCCAGGCTGAGCAGTAGGCAGAGGTGACCTTACTCTTATTTGGAGTCAGAGAGTCCGGGGGGCTTTCACCAGCTGTGTCAGTACTCAAGGGAAGGACACAGCACATTTTTTCTAGAAACAGAAGACCAAAAGTTGGGTAAGTAAGGGGTCCCCAGTTCTAGGAGATACTCCAAAAGCAAAACTAAGGAGCACCTCGCATGCACCCCGCCCTGCCCGAAGGTACCCTCCCTCTGCCACCAGGACCCAGCTGGCACCCCTCCCGCAGGAAGCCCAGGCCACTCCTCCAGCCCTTGTGCTCTTCATTCTGACTACTGAGCACTTGCTTAACTCCCAACGGGATTCTGGCCTCATTGAAAGAATCTCAGCCGGGCTCGGTGGCTCAGCCTATAATCCCGCACCTTTGGGAGGCTGAGGTGAGTGGATTGCCTGAGCCCGCGGGTTTGAGACCCGCCTGGGCAGGCGAGACCTCATCTCTACAATAAATAAAAAAATCAGCCGGGCGTGGTAGTGCGCGCCTGTAATTCCGGCTACTCGGAAGGCTGAGGCGGAAGGATCGCCAGAGCCCAGCAGATCGAGGCTGCGGTGGCCGGGAGCGGTCACTGCACTCCAGTTTGGGCGACAGAGTGAGACTCCAACTCAAAAATTAAAATTAAAATTAAAATTAAAAAAAATAATTAAAAAAAAAGAAAGAATCTCATTTCTCAAGTAGTCTGCAAGGGCCTTTAAAACAGGAACTATATCTTTAAGTTGCTCTAATTCCCCAGGGCAAGGAGGGCCTGGACAAGAGTGGGCCTCCACAAAAGATCTGTTGGTGGCTTAACAGATTATACATATTTTGGGTTTCCTGCAGGGAATAGGTGTGGTACCTCACTGAGAGGCAGCAATGACCCTCTAATGGTGTTCTGTCTTTCAGAAAGCTGAAAAGGAAGACAACCAGAGCCCTGTGCCCCTCTAAGCTCCCTTGCCCTAGTCAGGAAGACCAGAGACTCTCTTGAGCCCTGGATTTCTGAATGGTGAGGAAGGAACTCATCACCCGCCAACTGGGAAGATAAATAGGCTGGGGACTCACTGATATCTTCAATGACCACTGTGTTATCCATTGAAACATAAACAGCCAAGGAATTCCATTCATCAAATAAAGCAAGTTTTCTGCAAAGCAATGTATAATGAAGTCACAACTGGGGAAGATAGAAGTATCAGCTGGAAGCAGTGCTCAGTGGTTCCTAAAGTCACTGAACACTGAGCCACAGAGAAGCTGGTGTTCAGGTCAGCTCTGGCGCCTTTGCCAGAGCTCTGGGACAGTCCATGTCTGGAGACCTTGAGAATGCCACAGAGTCACTGTAGCTGAACCTCAGAAAGAAGGCTCTGCTTTACAATCTGGAAAAGTCTACCCCACAAAATGATGGTATTTCTACTGGGCAAAAAGAAAAAGTTATCCATGCATTTACTCCCCAAATCCCAAGAGACTTTTTTTCCTTAAGTAAAAGGCACTTTGACTTCCTGCAGTTTCGAAAAGGGAACATTAAATATTTATTTTTGTTTGGCAGTGGGGCCCATACATCACTTCTGTGTACCCACTGGAACAACTGATCATGTATGCCACAGGTATAGGGTGGTTAGAATGGGCAGATATAAATATCTAGTTTATATGTTTGGGATCATAGATATTATTAAAAAGGTGTCCCAGTAAAATCCAGAGAGAAAGAAATTATCTCTTCTACCCCTTCCCAGCTACATTGAGAATGCCCCTCAAGTAGACTCAGGCTACAGATTGACTTGGGTGCCAAGTCTTCCTGGTCAGCAGCCAAAGAGAGCCAACATACAAATGACAGGACTTCAGGGGAGATTAGAAGAGATTATCTGAGGTCTAAAGAAATTATCTCACCTATTTCTCCCTTCCTTCTTCTCCCTTGCCAGCTTGAGAGAAGCTATGTTTAACCTGGTTACTTATGGGATATGTGGATAAAATCCATTCTCATTGGATAAAAGAAAAAACATCCTCTCTACCAAAGTAGCTCTCAGGAAGAAGTGAACTATCATTACACTTTTCTTTCATCCATTTAAATCTATAATCTTTCTCTAGAATAAGAATAATGAATAATAATAACTGTTGTTAATGATAACAATCATGGTGAATCAGAATCTACTTTAATTATTATTTTTAATGTATTTTTCCACTTTGTTGTTGGGAACCTCACAGTTTAGAAGAAAGAAGCAAATCTGGGAATGTTATTTAAAAACCAACCATTTCAAGTCAGGTTTGGAGTTCAGCACAGCCATTCTAGTCTTTTACACTTTCCACCTTGGGTTCCTATGGTGGTTCCCAAAATACTGCCAGATCCTCACTCAGCAGAGTCAAGGATACTCCAAAAGTCCCCTGACTAAAGCAAGAAAGTAGTCTTAGAGAGGTTGCACTGTTAGCAAGGAGTAGAGCCAAGATATAGGTTTTCCTGGGGTCCCCATGAGATCCAGACTACTCGCCTCACATGCACATTCCCACAGCATTCTAGTTCATTGAAGATTGGCTAATAATTGAAACAGAGTCCCATATGGACTGTGCAGGGAGCAGGTCCCTTCATAATGCCTAGGAATTGAAGTATGTGACACCAAAAGAGGCTACACTGTTTCAATCTTCTGATCCCTAAATCTAGTTCCAGATTCTGGCTGTCACTTTCATTTATTCATTGAGCATTTATTGAGCACTTTTGTTTGCCAGGCAGTTTATGTGCTAGTGTTACAGAGTGAAAAAGACAAATACAACCTCTTTCCTCATGGAATTTTCATTTGGTGACAGGTTATCAGTAAGGAGAGTGACAACAAGTGAGTATGGCCTGTAGGTCACCCCATTCACTTCCAAAAAGTTGGTCCTGGCCTCTCTACCCTGCCTCTTGTGGTGGCGGGTGAATTCTGGAATTTGACAGGACAACTGAAAAAGTACCACGCTGAAACACCTTGAGTCTGCTACGAGATGACAAAGTGATTCTAAGACTCCCTTGGGGTTTGTCTCCTCTAAAAAGTGGTGAGTTCCTTGAGGCATAGACTGTGTCTAGTTTATTTCTCTACACCCAGCACTTAGCACTGGAAAGGCACCTAGTAAATGCTGAGTGAATTAACAATTTCTTTTTTAATACCACACAGGCCATTTGAGAGTGCAGTGGAGTCCATTTCTTACTGAGGCTGGCTCAGCCTCCACCACTTAGTTTGAACCTTTTGGCTTCAAAAGGACCCTCAGGCCAATGGCACCTTGGTATGTGGGCATCAATCTGAAATGTGAAATACTGAATTAGTTCTGGGGTCCAGTCATATATACTGCTACCAATGAAAACAACTCTGTTATAGCAAGACAGGTGTCCACACACATTTCAAAGAGCCATGAGCAAAATGGTACTGATATTTGATGACTTAGAGGGAGGGGCAGTTTAGTGCAATTGCAAGAATATCTAGGTTGGTGAGAGGTTTAGTTGCCTGAGGAAGGAAGCATAGGAGACAGCAGAATAAGGCAGATGCCAGACTCTTTTACTTACTTTAACACCTGTGCAACTGTATTTGGTCCAAACCATTCGCCAATTGATTTCCCTTCTCCTACACCCATTTGTGCTGTTTTTATGTGGAAAAAATTAACATGTTAGCAAAAGAGCTTCCAACAAGCCACAAATGCCTAATTTTTGGCATAAATAATCAAGCAGATGGACAACTTAGTAGAGTCGCATATAAGGCAGGGGAAGAGAAGGAGCAGGCATTGTCTTTAAACTACTGATTTAGGACCTTACCCATTTGATGGATAGAGTAGCAACAATCTTTTCTATCTAAGAAGCACTGTAGGATCTGTTGGTATTCTTTGGGTTGCTCTTTTTGTTTCTCCCAGTTCCAGTCTTTTTAAGGAAAAAAAATGAGTTAAAATCATTTTTATTACTGTTTATTACCCCTCTGCACTCTTAATGGAACTACAAAATTAGAAGGAAAATAAAGGAGTTACATCAAGAAGGAGGGAATGATCAAGTTAGAACATTCCTTAAGTATCTTTCACTTTGATGACAAAGATACCTGGAAACTGATTACTTTCAAAGCCTCAGTGGATATAAAGTAAAAGCAAAACAAGAAGCTGAGCAAGGAATTGACTTAGTCCAAGGACTAGAGCTGAATAAATATTACATAAAAACAGTGTCATAAAGGCCTTTTTGGCCAGCTACTTAACTGAACAGGAGGTCACCACAAAGCCTGACAACATATCCATATATAACCCAGATGCCATAGTGTTTCATCCTCACACAGACAACAACGGCTTTTGCCCTTATATTTTGGCAGCATTGCCAAAATGGTTTCACGAGGGGAAGTGCTATTCTGACATACAACAGTTCACAGGGGAATATACACAATTCATATCTAAGGAAGCTCTAAAAAAAAATCACATGCTGCCATTTTTACACTACCTTTCAAAAATCCACACTAAACTTTGAAAAAACAAATGCTTTGCTATAAGGTTTCAAGGTTTCCTTAAGCTCAAAGTCAAAATAACTCCACGTATAGGGGTCCAATTTGTGCCTTAGGCACAGACCCCCATAACCTACAGGGGCCACTTATAACTTACTGAGGACAACTGCAAAAACTCTATGTAATCACTGCTGTGGACAGGATGCACCACTCCAATCCTCTTAGCTCTAGGAACTCTGTTTAATGGGACAGATTTCTGAGGTTTAGTCTGCTTCCAAGACATAAATTTTTCTCCTGAGGTCTTAAAGAGAATTTTAATTAACAACTGAACTGTACTTGAAGCCAAAGGCCATTATCTCCAGAATCTTCAGTTCCCTTTTGCTTCCAGTGTTTCTGAAACCAAAGTCTTAAACTTAGATCAAGTACAGCCTTCAGCATGTGAACCATATCCAAATTTTCTTTTCATTAGTGAATTGTCCAAGTCTGGGGAAATCCTGTTTAACTGGCTGCTAAGTGCCACTAAATATTTACTGATAGCCGGGCTCGGTGGCTCAGTCTGTAATCCCGCGCCTTTGGGAGGCTGAGATGAGTGGATTGCCTGAACCTGCGGGTTCGAGACCCGCCTGGGCAACTTGGCGAGACCTCATCTGTACAATAAATCAAAAAACCAGCCGGGCGTGGTAGCGCATGCCTGTAATTCCGGCTACTTGGAAGACTGAGGCGGAAGGATCGCCGGAGCCCAGCAGGTCGAGGCTGCGGTAGCCGGAAGCGGCCACTGCACTCCAGTCTGGGTGACAGAGTGAGACTCCAACTCAAAAAAAAAAAAAAATTACTGATGAAACTGCTAGGTGAATACTCCACCTCAATTTAAAAATAACTGAATAGGATGCAATCCAAAAGACTTCTTTACAAAACCACATCTTCTAATTCATCTTAGCTACAAGATCTATTTCCAAATTCTTCCTGTTACTTTTATACAGAAATGATTGGAATTGATGACTGTGTCCCCACCCCTCCCCAACCCAGATTTGCTCCCTCTTCAGAACTCACTTCCAGACTAACCATCTTAGAATGTTTTATAAGTTAGAAAAAGTTAAATAGTAAGAACAGATCTACACCAAGAAGCATGTGTACACTAGAGATCAGTATTCTATTCCCAAATCTTTGTTTTCTTGCTATTTGGCCTTGGGCAAAACACCTCACTTTCCAGCCTCAGTTTCCTCATCAGTAAAATAGAAACTATGATACTACCATGGGGAAGCAGGCACAGGATACACTAAACCCTAAAGAGAAGGCAATAAGCCCTAAAACCTCCCCCAGATCCTTCCTCAATTCTCTCTGAAAGCTGCAGCAAGATCTGTGAGTTTGCACAATGGGGAAAGGAGACTGACATTTCCATAGCTCTGAACTTCAATTAGCAACAGCCAATGAGTTCAGCAGCCCAATCTCATCCAAAGTGTCCTTTCGCTCTCTTATCTGCAAGTCCAACTTTCACCCAAGGACCTGAACTGGCATCCAGTCAAGGTTATCCTTCAGATACCCCCAGGAAAGCACATACATGTCTTAAGAAAGTAAGACTCAAAAGTTCCAACAACCATTACTGAAAGGTTCTTAATTAATGAAGTGGCCTCTTGAAGAAGCTAATTTAAGGATTCCTTCCTCATCAGTTGGACATCCTCAGTGATCCAAAACCAAAATAGTGCCAGCTCCCTCATAGGCACTTCCTTTAAGTCACTACATCCTTCACCAGGCAGATATTTTAAATGAGGACAAGAAACAAACTCACCACCACACCCTTCTTCCTGCTCCCTTTGTTATATGGCATTTCTAAGAACTCACTCGAACAATAGCAAAGATGGAAACTCTAAATGACACACCTGCCTCAATTTTCAATTCTGTCCCAGGAAAATAACACTCTGGCTTGGTAAGTCAGGAGGAAATACAGGCTGTTTCCGTCTCATGAGGGGTTTTGTTGACTTGTCAGTCCCACCACTTGAGCTTGCAGAGAGCATTTTAGGACCTGTAGCTTTGTCACTGAGTGCTCCCAGAGCTCAGCATCAATGCCATATCACCAGCAGCAAGTGATACTGCAGAGGTCTCAGGCAGTTTACAGAATAAATTTAACTCACCCCTTCCCAAGTGTCTGCAGATAAGGGCTTGAGCCAGCATCATTTGTCCACAGCGTAGCATACATCCCCAACCAGCATCTGATGAAGGACCTGTTCCCCCTGTTGGCAAAATGGATGGGAATGCATATGGGTTTAAATTTATTTAAATTGCCCTTTCTTGAAACATCAGCATATTTGGGACTCACATAAGAAGGGCAAAATATACATACTCTGAAAAGGGAGGCAAGAGATATACTCAGAGATCAAACAACCTTTGAGTATAGGGTTGGAACTTACAAAGGTAGTGCTGAGTTAACCAAAACAGCTTTTATGACCAAAGATAAAACAAGCAAATGAAATAAATATGCCCTTAGGTTTTCTGCTTGGAAACTTCTAGCTATGCATGCAATCTGTGTAGACAACTGCCATGTATGAATATCAACACTTAATCCAGTCTATGTCATCATCTGCCAGACCAGACTTTGCCTTGCACAGCTCGCTTTGCATAGCCCTGAACATCTCAGGGAAGCTGGTCTTAACCTTAGTTAAAGAAAAAATACTATCAAAGGTAATCATCAAAATGGTCAAAAAGATTTGGAAGGCTCACGACTGTTCTAAACATGTATTATGAAGATCTGAACAGCAAGAAGGACAACGTAAAATAGAGGAAAGGTCCCTAGATAAGGCATCAGAAGACCAGTGTCTAGTTATCTAATCTAAGTGTCATCTATAGGCTAGGGATAATAGCATATACTCTGCCTACTATTGGTAAATGATGTAAGAATTAAATGAGAAAATATCTGTGAATGTGTTCTAAAACCCACACAAGATGATGCAAATATTTTATGCTATGAGTATAATCATAATTTATTTTATTTATTTATTTATTTATTTTTTGAGTTGGAGTCTCACTCTGTCACCCAGACTGGAATGCAATGGCCGCTCCCGGTCACTGCAGCCTCGACCTTCTGGGCTCCGGCGATCCTTCTGCCTCAGCCTTCTGAGTAGCTGGAACTACAGGCGCGTGCTACCATGCCCGGCTGAGTTTTTGATTTATTGTAGAGATGAGGTCTCGCTGCCCAGGCGAGTCTCGAACCCGCGGGCTCAGGCAATCCACTCACCTCAGTCTCCCAAAGTGCTAGGATTACAGGCTGAGCCACCGAGCCCAGCCTATAATCATAATTTAAAATAATATTGACAAAATAGAAATGTACTGTCTCTTTAAAAGGCACAAAACCAGTTAATAAATGCAATAAGACACTAGGTTCCATTTTAAGAAAACTTGATGTAAAGAAAATCCCATGTATGTGACCGGGGTGAGCTCAATATACTTTTTCAAGGGACCAATGCAATCAGATAACTTGTATGGCAGAGGGGACATTTTGCTTTCATTGTTTTCCTTTTCCAACATGGAAGTGGAAAGGTTAAGCTATAAACATAATTTCAAAGATCTAACTTTAAAGAGGATCATCAACCTCGTTAGACAAGTAGGCCAAGGTGGCTACCCCTTTTCTTTCATTGTGGGGCCTGAAGGAGAGTCGCTACAGTAAGATGGGAAGAAGGGAGCCAATTTGTGAACTAGAAGGCTTACATTTTGGCGCCAGCTAATGTTGGGATTATAGGACAGATGTATGTGGAAAAGATGCAACAAGGCCCTTGTTGAAAGGGAAAGAAGAAATCATCTATTGCCAAAACATCAGAGTCAAATTGGTAATGTTTTTCAGCCTTGCAAAGCACCCCTCAACCAGAGAAAGTTCACAGTTCAGAACCACTGGATATTAAAGATTGTTCTTTTGTTTGTGTGTTACTACTTAGGGTATTCCTATGAAGAGAGAAAAAAAAAAGTCTGTGCAAACTACATTTTTGGTACTTGACACAAAGTTACTAGGTCCGGTCCTGTATCAAAATTGGTCAGACAGGTTTCCTCTTAGAAGAGTAGCTTTCACCATTTGTAGTGCTTTTTCCTATAGGGCCAAGAGGGTAGGAAGTAGTCACCCTACTTACAAACTTTAAAAATCCCCTCTAGAGAAAGCATATTCACTTATCCTATTGCACTCTCCTTTTATCTAATGGCAGCATCTCTCAATGGCAAGGTGCTTTCATTTCACAAGGAAAAAAATCAAAAGAATTATTTTGTTTCCTTCAAGGCCCACAATTGTCTTTAATAATCAAGTATTTCTACAAAGTTGTAAATTGAAATTTAAGGAATATTATCCAAATTAAAAGCATTTACTATCTGGTGCCTAAATACTTAGAAGTGGAATCAAAAGGATACTAACATAACATGTCAATACCATAGAACCATACATGAAGGAGTACTTTAGCAATGAAACTTTTGGATAAAGTAAAAGTTTACCTAGTCTCCTAAATCAAATTCTTTGCCATAGTGAGCTGTTAATTCTGAGGTTTCTGTGAAGTCACCAATAACCTCAGGCAAGCTATCTACAAGGAAGAGAACACAGTACAACAAATGATATACCTACCAATTGGTGAAAATTTCCTTCTGTATGTAAACCATAGACGAGTACTTATATCAGACAGCAGCTTAGATTTTTCTGTAATTGAATGTAAAATTAAAGTTAAATCACCATAGCTCATCTAAAAAATACTTGCCTTTGATCTCTGAGCCAGCAGCAAACTCAATTTCAAATAACCAGACACTGTTATGGAGCTAGGGAAATTCACAAAAACCCAATCTCATTTTAGCCAAATGATCTCAGCGGTTCCCCCACTTATGATTTGATCAGAGCTACTTCACTAGTCCAGTGATGTTGAGTGGTCCGTATCATCTTCTCACTGAGCTCCATGACCCTGGCAGTTACTAACACTGGGGACATGGCCAAAAGACAAGGAATATGGCAATTAAGGATCCTAGATAACCCACTAGTAAGGCAATCAGCCCCAGCCTGAATGATGACAGTTGGTTGGATCTTGCATCAGTACCCATTGTCTCTTATCTACAACTAGGGGTTGGTGTGTGTGTGTGTGTGTGTGTGTGTGTGTGTGTGTGTACGTGCATGTATGTATCTGTATTTGTGTGTATACACACATGGATGCTTAAATAAAAAGAAAATATTCCTGATAAACAAATGAAGTGTTTAAGAAACTTATCCATAATATCTAGTGCAATTGGCACTTGTAATCTAAGTGGATATATAACATCACAGATGTTATTGTGTCTTTTTTCAAAGCATGTTTTCTTGTATTTTATGACATAAATTTACGTTGATAACCATGAATATGGCTTCCACATTTCCATCTGTACTTAGATGTGGTTCTGTCTTTCTTAGTCATCTCTCTCCTCCTTCTCCGCAACACATCAATACGTGTATTCTGTATAGAACTTATAGTCATCGCACTTTAAAAGAAAAAAGGGGAAACCATTTTAGCCAATAGTTTCTATTTTCTCTTTTCTGTTTCCTTTGAGCAAATCAGAAAGTTGAGCTGTCTGGATTTTGCCTTCCTTCCACGCCCCCAGTCCCTAGCACATTTTGGGAATCAGATATATAGTGGCTAAGGTAAGACTTCTGGAGTCATACTCTGTCTTGGTTTAAACCCTGACTTTACTACTTACTAGTTGTGTGACCTTATTGCTTATGCTCTCTGAGATTCAGTGTCCTCATCCATAAAATGGGGAGAATGATAGTACCTACTTCATTGAGTTGTGAGTATTCAAAAGGTAAGACATGTAAAGTGCTTAGATTGTGCCTGGTATGCAGTAAAGCCTGTGACAGATTGTAGCTGTTATTATATACCCATCCTCTCAAATGTTCACACTCCTCATTACTGCCTCTGACAGTTTCTATGTCTTCCGGTATGGCTTTATGCTAGAGAAGTTGTGTGGATATTTTAGCAATAATTTCACTTTGAAAGGCATTTTCCAATTTAACATTTGAATATTGGTAGATTTGGCAACCTGGGGATTCCAGTTGCCATGGAAGGCAGAACTCAAAGAGATCCTGTCTAACTCTGTCATTTTAAGCACTAGTGAAGGAAGTTAAGATCCAGAAAGACAAAGTGACTTACCTGAGTTGGGAAAAGAGTCTGAATACAAAAGGTCTCCTAATCACTAGCTCCAGGCTGTCTCCACTGTTCACAATTCTCCAGTGAAAATAATGAAGCCAGACTCAGGAGGAGCTGGACAATGCCTAACTTCCTCTCCTGCCTTTTGATCTCTTCTTCCTGTTCCTTACTCCATGCTAGGGGTTTTCTCCCCTCAGAAAGATATAAATCTCAGAGCTGCCTCTTTGCAAGTTCAGGCTTTATCTGGGTGCTGGATCCTTAGCAGTTTCAGGTTAAAAGGTCTTTCCCAATCTATAAGAATGCAATGGTAAGGAAGAAAAATTCAAGCCTTCTTTCTGTCTAGCTACAGTGGCTAAAAGTTCTATGCAAAATCAGAATAAACTGAGACTGTGCTACAGTCAACAAAAGATCTAAAACAAAATAGAGACTTCTCAGGTCTAATATTGTTTCTGAGGGTTGTTTCGAGGGCCCTAGGTGTTTTTAGTTAGCTAGATAAGGATATAAGAGGAACGAGAAGTATGTAGCCCAAGTCACCAAAGGCTAGAAGTATGTAGCCCAAGTCACCAAAGGCTAGAGACTGGTTAGTGATACCAACAGTGGGTCCATGTATTCTGAAACCCAAGGCTTCTAAATATGGGGGTTCTCCATTAAGGAAAAGAATAAAATATATTACTTTTGCAAGTTATACAGAAACCAATAACCATGTAAACATGCTGCTAAATGCTTTCAAAACTATAGAAGGGAACCATGCAAGCAAGAGGCCTGAGGCTTAAGCTCCACTAGCTACAAGGTAAATCTACCTCGGAGTAATGTTAACATTTATGAAGGGAATGCTCTGCCAGCCCAAGGAGAAAAAAGTACAGGCCCTTAATCTCGGGTGCCCACCTCATGTGGGTTCTCATAGACAAATGCTACCAAACCTTACCTGTTTTAAGGAGATGCTGCTTCCCCAAGATCCATACCAGCTCATCTGTATCTGGATATTCTTCTAGGTAGTCAGCAAAAATAGTAATCTGGTTTTCATACTTGGATAAAACTGAAAGAAAAGAAAGAAAATATAAGTAAAATTTAATAGAGGGGGCTTACTTCTGTGGTTGACTGAGTATAACCTCTACCCTGAAGGCAAAAGCTCATCAGCTTGAATCTAATTATAAGAAATTCCTTTTTCTTGAGGAACAAAGGCACTCACAAGAGCTTAAAGTCCTTTAGCAGAGGAATTTCCTCTTGACTACCTTTTTTGACTTTCCCTTTCTCATTGAACACCATCTCTGAAAATTCATTTGGCCACAGTTACTTCAAGTCTTTTCCCCCAATGGAGCCTTCTTTGCAAATAGCCAACTATTTAGCTCCTCCTAGTGGGAATGTATCAAGGTAATCATTAATACCTGCATATCTAACTCTTGTCCATGTCACAGGAAGTATTGTGAGGTTTGTGTTTTACGGTTTCTAGCATCCAATGGTTCAAAACATGCTGTGACAAGCCTGAAAGGTTGTACAAATGTGAAAATGTTAATATTTTTAGCTGGAAGATCAGATGTTTTTAATAGTATTTGCCAATTTATTGACACATGACTTCTGCAAAGAAGGCTCTTGAGGCTGCTATAAATATAACTTGTTTTTAGAATTCACAAATGACTGTTGCATATCATAAGAAACATATATTTGGAAAGCTACAATAGACAAGTGGGACCTCATCAAACTGAAAAGTTTCTGTACTGCAAACAAACAAACAAACAAAAACTATCAAGAGAGCAGGAAGACAACTCACAGAATGAGAAAAAATTATTTGTTAATTATGTATCTGACAGAGGCCTAACATCCAGGATCTACAAAGAACTCAAATGAGCCAAAAAGGGGGAAAAAACCCTATTAAAGAGTGGACAAAAGACATGAATAGACATTTCTCAAAAGAAGACATACGAGCAGCTAACAGACACATGAAAAAATGCTCAGCCTCATTAATCATCAGAGAAATGCAAATTAAAACCACATTAAGATACCACCTAATTCCAGTAAGGATGGCCATCATTATTAATAAATCAACAAACAGCAGATGCTGGTGTGGGTACAGAGAAAAGGGAATGCTTCTACACCGTTGGTGGAAGTGCAAATTAGTCCAATCTCTATGGAAAACAGTGTAGCAATTTTTTTTAAACTAGAAATTGACCTTTCATAAGACCTAGCAATTCTCCTTCTGAGAACATACCAAGAGGAACTTAACTCATTCTATAAGAAAGATACCTGCACATGCATGTTTATTGTTGTACTATTCACAATAGCAAAAACATGGAACCAACCCTGCTGCCTATCGAAAGTGGACTGGATAAAGAAAATGTGGTACATATACATGATGGAGTATTATACAGCCATAAAGAAGGTTAAAATTACAGACTTCACAATAAACTGGGTGGATTTAGTCTATCATACTTAGTGGTCTATCACAGAAAAAAGAACCGAATACCACATGTTCTCACTCATAAGTGGATCCTGAACATTTATCATGATGCTACTAGAAAGGGATCAGCAGTCACAGGACACTGCCAGAGGAGGAGGGAAGAGGGAGGGGACGTGGCATCACAAAGGGTATCTGATCCTAAACCAGGGGATGTGAGGACCAGTTGAAGGCCTGAACTTCACCTGCACATAGACTACTCATGTACCCAATCCTGACTTGTACCTCACATCTCAATAATAAAATAAAGAGAAAAAAAGATATATATTTGGTGTTCATTCCTGTTTTCTGCGACAGAGCTCCTGAAACCCCTATTAGTTCCTGAGCGATAGGGATGCTAGATGCATCTTTTTTTCTGATATTTGGTCAGAACTCTGGTTCCTGACACAGAGCTCCTACTCCCTTGGAATTTGCTGGGTGACAGGAGCACCTTCTGTTCTAATGAAGCATCTCTTGCTAAGCTTCTGGATGGAGGCTGGTCACCAGAAAGAACAATCTATGATTAGAAGCTTGAAACTTTAAGTCCCCCATCACACCTCCCATCTTCTGGGAAGGAGAGAAAGGCTGGAGATTGAATAAAAAATCAGTTATGCCTACATGATGAGGGCTTTGTAAAAACCCTGAACTATGGGGTTTGGAGAACTTCCAGGTTGCTGAATACACGGCGGTACTTGGAGAGTGGCTTGCCTGGAGAGGGTATGGAAAATCTGTGTCCTTTCCCACATGCCTTGCCCTATGCCTCTCTTCCAACTGGCTGTTCATCTGTATCCTATGTAATATTATTTATTTATTTATTTATTTATTTATTTATTTATTTATTTATTTATTTATTTATTTTGAGTTGGAGTCTCACTCTGTTGCCCAGGTCGACCTGCTGGGCTCCGTCAATCCTTCCGCCTCAGCCTTCCTCAGTCTTCCAAGTAGCTGGAACTACAGGTGCACGCTACCATGTCTGCCTAATTTTTTTATTTATTGTAGAGATGAGGTCTCGCCAAGTTGCCCAGGTGGGTCTCGAACCCACGGGCTCAGGCCATCCACTCACCTCAGCCTCCCAAAGCACGGGATTACAGGCTGAGCCACCAAGCCTGGCTATCATTTATTTTTAAATGGGTAAATATAAGGAAAGTGTCTCTCTGAGTTCTGTGAGCCATCCTAGCAAATTATGGTACCCAAGGAGGGGGCTGTAGGAATCCCAATTTATAGCTGGTTGATCAGAAGCACAGGTCATAACCTGGGACTTACAACCAGCATCTGAAGTAGGGGAAGTCTTGTGGGACTGAGCCCTTAACCTGTGGGATTTGACTGTAATTCCAGATAGATACTGTTAATTAAATTATATTATTGAATTAAATTATAGGACACACTATTGGTATGTAGGAAAAAAGTCTCACACATCAGAAGTGTTGAATGGTGAGTGTGAGAGTAGCAAAAAGTTTATTTTTTCCTATCTCATACAACTATGGCTATCTCTCAAGATAAAGTAACCAAAAAATTATAAGCCTCATTAGTTCCCAGGCCACACTTTCAGAACTTATAACCATGTAATATGGAAGGAGTTAAAATTCAAATTCATTTTTGTACCACCTGTGGGGAAAAGGTCTGCTAAAAGACTCAAGACTGACTTATAAAGGGGTCCTATCTCCAAAGTTCTTTTTTTTTTCTTTTTTTGAGTTGGAGTCTCAATCTGTCACCCAGACTGGGTGCATTGGCATGCTCTCAGCCACCGCAGCCTCAACTTGCTGGTCTCAGGCAATCCTTCTGCCTCAGCCTTCCAAGTAGCCAGAACTACAAGCACGTGCTGCCATGGCCGGCTAATTTTTTTGGATTTATTGTAAAGTCAAGATCTCGCTAAGTTGCCTGGGTGGGTCTCGAACCCGTAGGCTCAGGCAATCCACTTGCCTCGGCCTTCCAACCTGCTGGGATTACAGGCTGAGCCACCGAGCCTGGCCCAAAGTTCTTTTTAAGTAATTTTCTGAGACAAATAATATTGTAGGGAGTAAATAATTTTCCAAGCCAGCTTACAAAAACCTCTTTTAATCTATAACCAGAAAATTTAAACTGATAATACAGTTCACAGTTTATGGGTACCATTTCTATGAGAAAATTTATTTCAAATTCAAAGCTAAGACATCCAACACACACCTTCTCTTGGTTCTTGGAGGCTCCTCAGAGACAGTAGACCATTTTGTGCAGTTACAAGTAGCTTCAAGGATTCTCCCAAAGTAGCCCCTAAGAACCCTATGAGTAGAATTTCCTGTGAAAATGGCATTGTGGGATATATCTAATTCACTTGAAAGGACAAATTGTTTTGTTTTTTATGGCAGAAGAATGCTGTTTTCATAGAAATAAATATCCCTAAATATACATAAGTCTTCTCTGATTATAAAAACAGGTTCACCTGCTCAAAATACTTTGTTGGAAGTTGAAGTCATAATTTGTACAAGCACTTTTACAGACATAGCTAACCAGGGATTTTGCATTTCTGAAAACACATTACAGAATTCCAATCATTCAGGAATTCCAGTAGCCTTTCTTGACACTATGTTTTAATGATCAAGATTATAGTCTGTGCAGTGCTTCAAATCTAAAAAAGTTAGAAGTGAGATAGTCATTTCATTCCCCAGTGAAAATTCATCACTACCAAATCTGTCAGGAAGCTTGTGCCATCTTAGTCTCTCTGCTGCTGGCCTCAGCCTCTGGCCCATGTCCAGGAAATACCAGGCTAAAAATGATCACCCAGGTCAGGCCATCTCCAGGAGGTGGTGGACCAAAGCAGGGTAAATCACACTGTGTACTTCCCTACCCCACCCTCTACCCCTCACAGGCAGGAGAAATCACTTTAAAATGAACAACCTGCATAGCCTAGAAAGATAAAGAAAATAAGTAGCTTGAGAGGAGTGTGGGAAAAGAGCAATGCCTCTGGCATTACCTTGGTAGGGGTGAGGAAGGGTGGCATTGGATGAATGTACAGCACGTATGCATATAAAAGCCTTGGGTCTTTTTTTAGTACTGGCCAAAAAAAAAAAAAAAACATTTCTCTATAGCCAACCCTGTCTCAGTGAGTCACTGTCCAGCTATCTGGTCAAATTAGTACAGCCCATTAAAGCTTGTGACAACTGCCCTGCTTCATTTGGGATGGCTCTGACCAAAATGGTAGCCAAGTAATTTTGATCTTGCTCTTCATCCCCTCTCAGGCCTGGCAAGGTGAGCAAGAAGGTCATTTCAGTCTCTATTCTTCTTGATTCTCCCCTTAAAAGAGTGTCAGGCCATAGCTAGCTCTGAGTCGAGGCTACACATAGGGAACCAGAATAGACAATGAAATTAATAAGAGCAAAGAGCAATGACATAGGAAGATTATATACAAAGGAGAAAAGAGGAAATAAGTCCTAAAAAAGAAATGACAAATGAAGAAGCAATTTGGGAAGTGGTTGAAGTGCAGAAGTTAAATCTCATTTCCAATTACTTTGAACTAACAGCAATTTTTTTTTTTTTTGAGTCAGAGTCTCACTCTGTCAACCAGGCTGGTGTGCAGTGGCATGCTCACAGCTACCTCAGCCTCAACCTGCTGGGCTCAGGTGATCCTA